AGCTTGGAGAAGAAGGAGCTGCTGGCAGGCTGCTGTGTCCTGGTGAGCTGCAGGCAGCAGGACTGGCCTGTCACCATGGGAACTATCAGCTCTCTTTTGCAGGCTGACCCAACTCTAATGGGAAAGGTTTACATGGAGATGATGAATGTTCTCAATCTGCAGACTCCATCTGTCAGCCTCACTGACCTGGTGCAAGGTCACTGCAACAGGTCAGTCTGCAGGGATTATTCTAAAGGCTGTGTCATTGGCTCTTATGTTTCAAAGGGTGAACTATAGTTCTATACATATCACCATATAATAGTGAAACAGCTGTGCTCACTATACCTTTGGTAACTGAAAATTGGAAAAAAAAAACATTTACACGGAAAAGACAAAAAATATGACCATGTTTTAATGATTCAAAAGCTGGTTCTCAAAAACCCTGCTTGCTCCCATTGCTTGCAGGAAATGCCTCTGGCTCTGCCGCAGCCCTAAATTGGAAGAAGTGTTTAGAAAACAGGGGGAAGGATAGTTCTCAAGAAGTCAGGAACTGTCAGTCGCTGAAGCGTAGAATGCTCAATATGAGCATCGGAAGAATCTTCAGACGGCAAATTTAGTTATGAAAGAATTACATATTTTTGTGTAGCAGGGGTACTGTCACTTTATTGAGCAGTTTATTAAATGTAAATTCATTATGCTGATTAACATTTGTGATCAACATGTTTGATAAATGTGGAATCTACTGCGGATGTTCTCGTAAGTTGCTATTACTCCAGCGACATGAGGATGAGCTGTTGGGATGTTGTCACATCAGGATGCGGCAGAGAAGGAGAGCAAGTGAGGTCCCAGGACTTGATGAGTTTAGTGTGCTACACTGTAATACTGTCAGGCTGTCTTTAATCACTGCAATTGGAGTTCTGTAGCACCAAACACTCTACCCAGACTATCCCACTTGGACGATCAATCACTCTGTAGTACACAGCATTTAGCAAATCGTTTTGTACATCTGCACCTCACACCTGACCTTCTCCAGGACAGTCTGCAGATAACCTTGAGTTGTTGCTAAAGATCTGATTCTTGATTTTCATCAGGCCTGATATTCAGCAGGTTAAGTTTTGTCATCTTCTGTTCCTGACACTTCCTATCATAAGGTTACTTAAGGGCCAGTGCAAGTTACTCAAGTGTGGCATGTGGCAGTCACGAAAGATCAATTAGCCAAAATGAGAGTGTACGGATGATTAATGTGATTATGTTCTTCCCCTAGTTTCCAGCTCTCCTCTCATGCCATCCCAGAGCAGCTGCGCGAGAGTGCCACCCAGCTGTCCGACTGGGCGGTCAAGCTGGTAGAACT